TCATAGTCAAATATTTATGATCTTTTAAAATAATAAACATTACAAAATACTCTTAAAAAATAAGCAATAATATCCCCCAACTGCTTCCCTTGAGGTGCAATACCATAATTTTCCATTTCTATAAGTATTAAAATTGCATCCCAAAGTCACAGCTAAGTCCATCACTGCCTCTTCTCTGTATCCTTGTAAATTTTCTTTAATTGTTTCCAATCACCATAATTTTCCATTTCTATAAGTATTAAAATTGCATCCCAAAGTCACAGCTAAATGCATCACTACCTTTTTCTCTGTATCCTTATAGATTTTCTTTAGTTGTTTCCAGTCCAGTTTCCGCTTTTACAGCTTCTTCCACTTCTCCCTCCTTCCAGAAAGAGCAATAATATCCCCCAACTGCTTCCCTTGAAGTGCAATACCATAATTTTCCATTTCTATAAGTATTAAAATTGCATCCCAAAGTCACAGCTAAGTCCATCACCGCTTTTTCTCTGTATCCTTGTAGATTTTCTTTAGTTGTTTCCAATCCAGTTTCCGCTGTTACAGCTCTTTCTTCCACTTCTCCCTCCTTCCAGAAAGAGCAATAATATCCCCCAACTTCTTCCCTTGAGGCGCAATACCATAATTTTCCATTTCTATAAGTATTAAAATTGCATCCCAAAGTCACAGCTGAGTCCATCACTGCCTCTTCTCTATATCCTTATAGACTGTTGAAGATCTTTAAACAAAGCGGAAGTTCCATTAAACAAAACCAGTTTTCAAGCTTCTTTAATCCAAGCCTCGGAGAAAAAAAAGAGGGGGGGAAAATCCAAAATCCAAATCCAAAATTTTCTCCGTTAAAGGAAAAAAAAAAAATCACCAAAACTTTCCATAAACCCAAAGAAAAAATATATCAAAGTTACAACCTTAAGCCAAGGGGTAACAATTTCCCTCTTCATTCAACGCTGCAAGAAAGTGAAAGTTAAAAAGGAAAGTCACTCTCATCTATTAAAAAAAACGGCAAACCGCAGCCATTTTTCCCCCCCTCATTTCAACTTAACTTTAAAGAAGATGTTAATAAATTGAGTTAAAGTCTTAGGTTACTCAAGTCCAGTTTCCCCTGGTCAGTTCCGTCTGGTTATTATTTACTCACAGTTTTCTATAATTCTCAGCAGTGGAGGCAGCGACTAGCTTTGTTCCCCCCAAAAAAGGGAACAAAGACACTTGGGAGGCGGAGATTTCCCGGACTCCGGAGGAGTACCCAATTTCGCTCTCCCGAAATAAAGGGAGAGCTTTTGGGACTCTACTCCTATCCAGGAGTACTCACCTTGACCCCTTCTCCCGGGGCACAAGGTTCCAAGCCGCTGAACAGCTGCTGACCGCTGTTCATGCTGGCTCTGATGTCTTCCCAAGAGGACGGCTCTGAAAAGAGCCGCCATCGGCGCGCCGTCCCACCGGAAGTCCCAAAATTACACAATTTCTTACAGAGTCGACATTCAAGTTGATTTCTCCCCAGAGGTCAACGTGCTAGGGAAAGGAAATATAATGTTCTTCCCATATATCATCCCATGGATAATTCCTCATTACTGCTGCAACATCAAAATAAAAAAAAAAAGATTATTTCAGGATAAAAATTCCAAAGGTTCCCAACTTTAAAATAAGAAGCTCAAATTCACACACCTATAGTGGCCTTATATTTTATACATGATTTATTTATAAAAACTAATATATAAATAAATATCAGTTGATGCTATATATCTTTTTTTGAGGTTTTAACTGTTTAAATTGTTTTTAATTATCTTAACTGGGTTTTTTTTTTTAGTTTTAGAACTGTAATCTGCCCAGAGTCAGTTGGCTGAAATGGGCAAATACAGAAATTGAATTGAATAAATAAATATCAACAGGAAGGAAAAAGAAATACCACATACAGTATTTTCACAGAGGGAAATTTCATGCAATTTTGGGGGGTTAAAGCAACTCGATATTACATTACCGTATTTTCCGGCGTATAAGACGACTTTCTAAACCCTGAAAATCTTCTCAAAAGTAGGGGGTCGTCTTATACGCCCAGTCGTCTTATACGCCAGAAAATACAGGTATTCTATTTTATTCCTTTACACATGTGGTTTGGCATATTACTCATCAAGTTTTCTCTCCCCCCCCCTCTCTCGCTCAAACTCTATATTTTAACTGGAAAAGTTGGGGGTCGTCTTATACGCCCAGTCGTCTTATATGCCGGAAAATACGGTATTATGAAGATCTGAT